GAAAGAGGCAAAGGAAGCACCAATTGAGAGAAGATTGACCTGATTTGGAAAAGAAATCAAGCAGCAAACTGAGTTTTTTCTTATCTTTCTCTTCTCCATGCACTTTAGTTTGTATTTCATTGCGTTTTTCTTCTCCATCATGAACTAAACTCTTAAATATAGGGTTTGATGTAACCTATTTGAGACATAATTTAATTTCTTTATAGTATTTCCGTTTATTTTTCCAGAATTGATTTGTATTGTTCTTGCTTAATGCTTTCAGTTGCCTGATCATCAATTGAATGAATTGATGCTCTAAATTTCACGCTCGAGAGAGAAAAATTTAGGCATGATCTAAGAACAATATAACCTAGATTTATAGGTTTCGAGAGAAAGTGCAAATTTTTGAGGTTAAAACAAGAACCAAGTGCTTGATAATCTTTATATATTTAATTCGGAATAGAGATATTGTGATTAAAATATAGAGATAAGTTCTATTTGACGCTCGAGAGAGGGAAATATAATTAATTTATGATTCTTGCCTATGAAGTCGAGAAATTGTTGATAAAAATATCTATAGGGGTTGAGAATTATGTCAATAATACGGTGAAATCACTCCATAGATATTACTTAATTTGATTTAATCTTTAGAAATTGCCTCACTTTCCTTGCATTATTTAATTCATCGACATTAGTTTAGCATTCAAATATCAATTTAACATCCGATTGTCTAGATAAAGTAAACGCGGACACAATTATAGTACTTAATAGAAGTTGAATATCAATTCGTGTGGGTTCGACACTTTTCAATTCCTTAATATACTACAAAACTTGATACCATACGCTTATGGTTAAATCACGTTACATAAAACGCGTGGCAGAAACTAACATTCAATTATTTAAAAAAAAAAAAGCAATGAAAATTTAGTGACTTATCATTCAATTGAGTATTTTGTTCTTACAATTTTTATTTTCCATCAACAAAACAATTTTTTATTTTTCATCAATAAAACACTTATTAATCTTCATGATTTACATTATAATTCATCCATTGAATTTTTATTTTTCATCGACAAAGCCCTTATTAATTTTCATAATTTACATTATAATCCATCCATTAGGTTATTATTTAATTGAGTTTGCTTAAATGTGATCAACAATTAGAAGGAAAATAATCAATGATGAGAAAAATTATCAATCGATCTTAAAAATCTTACTAATTACTCTTAATAATTAGGAGTTACTTACACTTCTCATATTTGTATCCATGCACTAAATACAAGCTTTGCATCTCAAATACACATTTTCACTAAATTCAATTTTTTAAACATTAATAAAAATTAATATTATGTGTTCTAAAAAATGATTAATATAGTATCGAGTATTTATTATTGCCTGTTCATTTTTGTATAACATAAAAATGATGGTAAGCCTATTACTTATTAAATATAAATATATAGAGAAAAAAAAGATTTTTATCTCGATACATTTAAATGGAGAATTTTTATTCCTCCATTTGTATTAATCCCATTCAAAAGAAAAGGAAAGCTTTTGTTTAAAATATTTCACTTCGATATTTAGGCTTACACAGAAAAATCGAAAAACCGATCAAACCAATCAAGCCAACAAATCGGGTCGGTTTGACACAGGTGATTAGTTTGGTTTGATTTTCTTTTAACCAAAATCATGGTGAATTGGTTCGGTCATGGTTTGACGCCTCAAACCGCTGGTTAATCGAACCAACCCAACCTAGTTACACGTTTATCCTTTTTTTTTTTAATATAAGAAAAATAAAAATCAAAAGATGAGCCTTGATCTCAAAACTATATCACGATTCCCTCCAATCTATGATATTACCGATAAGTAATAGTGCTGAAAATTTCATTTCACAAACTCATTATGTTATAATTAGCCTTTTTTTTTCCAACTTAGATATTCAAACTACATAATATATAAAAAGGCAACAAAATTCTTAATTTTTCTATCGATCTGTCTCTATTAACTTAATTTTATTTGTGAGTCAATAATTCTTGTAATATAAAATTATTTTAGTTCTTGTAATGTAATTGGGTCCAATATATATATATATAATGTTTGATAAGATTGAAGAAATACAGCAACAAGTTAAACAAAGTACTACAAAGAAAAAGAAAATACAGATTATATATATATATAATTTTTTGTTTTATTATTATTTTTTTAATTATTTTTTTGGAAATTCAAGTTGGACTAAAAGTCCAAACCGACTAATCGAACCAAACCAAAACAGTTTGAGTCGGTTTGGTTTAAGTGTTAGGGTGGGTTGGTTTGAGTTGAAATTCACCCAAATTGATTAATTTGGTTTTGGTTTCGGATTGGAGTCGAAACGAACCCAAACCAAACTATGCCCAGACCTATCAATATCTATTTTGAATGTAACTTTGGTTTCTAATTTAAAATATGTAATTTTTTTGTTTCAAAATATGTTTAGATAAGATATTCTTTATTTTTATTTCTTAGGTAAAAAAGTTTATGGTACAGAAAAATGAGTAATTTTTTATTTTGAAAATTATTTACGTACCTTTATTTTACTTATACATAAATATTTTAAACTTAATCAAATGTACATATTTTAATTTGATTTTTCTTTATGTCTATTTATACCACAAATTGGTCGATGTCATCGCAATAATTGAAAATAGGGATCCAACCAAAGTCTAGCATAAACAAATCATTATATTTCATTTCAATTTATTCAACATTTTCAGTTTATATAGGTATTTTTCATAAAACTTTTATTTATATGTATATTAACAATTTAATTTTTTTCCTTTAACATTATAAATTGTCTTACTTTAAAAATATTACGTATATCATTCATTCTGCACATAAGACGTACAATGCACGTACTTCGTACTAGTTAGTAGAAATTTAACAAGATTAAGAGAGGTCCAACCATGTCTATTTGTATCGAATGAACTACATTTGCCAATATTTGATATATAATAGTTATATACCATAAAAATATTAAAAAAAAAAAAAACTTAATACTATACAATACGAGAGCAACAAATTTTAGTACCTGCAGCAACAGACAAAAATGATGCAAACCTAACTCGAATTAAAATGGCTGCGCACGCTAGTTACATCTCCCTTGAATGAGGAGACCAAGTTGAATATCAAAACTGGATTAGAATTAAAGCCACTTCCACATGCAGAAAGTTAAAATTGAAGTTGACAAAATTAGAAAATACCCATTACCTTTGTCTCCCATCTTTTTGATTAACACAAGAATAAGGTCAACAATTCCTTGTAATTGCAGTGCCAACATAGAGGAGGGTAGAGGCAAAGTAAGTGATGATCAATTGAGGTGGGAATATTTTGGGGGGAAATTTGGGAAAGAGGATTACTTCGCGCTTCTACGTCTGCAAGTGAAGAGAATGAGGAACTGGGTCATTTGATTGCTTATTGGACCCTTTTAAATCGGTTGGGTCGGGTCTAAAGTGGATTCAAAATATAACATTTTAAATTGGGAAAAAATCAAAATTTAGGCTTATAGCTTAGATCAATTCAAAAATAAGGTGTATAGTTTAAAAATTCAAAATTTAGTTATATATATAATTAATTAAAAATATTTATTAAATAAATATAATAAAATTACAGTTACACAATTAGTGATCACAAATTTATAATTATAAGTCACAATTTATTTATTGATTGCATATTATCAAATTTATTAGTTACAGATTATTTCAATTAAAAATTTTATAGGTCGCAATTTATTTCGAGATCACAAATAAAAAATTATATAGGTCACAATTTATTTCTAAATCACAAATTATTTTTTTAATCACAAATTATCAATTTTTAAGTTCATAGTTTAACAGCTAGTCATAAAGAACAAATAGTTGGTCACATACAGTAAATACTCAACCTCCTATTGGTATCCATCACCAATACTTAGTCATAAATCAATCAAATAGTTGGTCACAAATATTCTTTATCCCATCCCGTCATCACCGTCGCCTCCGCCCCACAACCACAACCACCGCCAACAACAACAACAACACAACACAACACCACGACCCACAAGATTACTATCTCACTACTATCATCACCATCACCAACCAGATTTGAACCTACCAGCCCACCACGACCTCCACCACCAAACACACCAACAATACTCAACCCTCAACCTCACCAACACTACCCATATCACCACTGCCAAAACCTCCGACAGCCACGGAGAGACAAAAATTGGCCACCATTCTAGCCCTTAATTACAGATAACCATCACTCACATATCTGCAGCCCCGTCACAACCACCGTCAACAACAACAAAAACGATCACCACCACGCAACTGCCGCCTGTAACACACCACCACACATAGATTTGCCCTCGACACCACCATCGCCAACAACAACAAAATGACCACCAACACAAAACCGCTGCCTACACCAAACCACCATACAACTACAACCTGCACCACAACACCACACACAGATCCGCTCCCAAAACAACACCACCATAACCACCGTCAACAACAACAACAACAAAAACAACAACAAACCACCGCCACCACCAAAACGCCGCTTACATATCCTTCTTCTCTCAACCAAACCTTAGATCGCACCTTCCCCATGGCGGCTCCAATTTTGTCAATTGAGTCTTGAAGATTTATTGGAAACATAGTCGGGATGTTCTTAATCGGAGGCTGCTTTGGTCGTGTCTCTCTTTGGCTGAGCTCCACCTTCCATTTCCCTAAGTCTTCTTCGGTTGTGTCTCTCTCTAGACTAGTTCACAGAGAAAGAGAGACAGGATGGGAAGAGAGGGAAAATAGGGGGGAGAAAATAATTAGGATTTTAATTTGATGGATGGGATAGCGTGAGAGTATATAATTGAATTATTATTATTATTATTAAAATATAAAATTGTTACATGATTTTTGCATAAATAAACTTTCAATCTTATTTTTGAAATTCAATCTTTAAACACTTGTGTAGATGTAATTTCCTCTTTTAAATTCTTTACTGCCAGCAAGTTTTAATGTTTTTTTATTTCATTTAAGCCAACACATTCTATCATGGGGCGTGTCATCCAACAGGTACAAATAGAATTTTTCGAAGAACTATAAACTGGTCAAAGCCAAAAGTCTGTTCAGAAAAATTATTTTATTGAATTTTCGATATCATTTTCTCCGCAGAGTTTTTGTCTTTCCCTAGTTCGGTCTGGCTCGAAAATCCTTGTATCCATTGCCATTCTTTCAATCCCTTTGTCATTTTCAATAAATACGTCTAGATTGTTGAGCTATTTATATAAATACATCTAGATTGTTGGGCCATTTATAACCAGTAATAGTAGTAGTTGAACCGCAGACCAGACTCAATACTGATAAATAGTTTACAATCCAATCGGAATCGAATCGAATATGGCGCTGCCGGAGATGGAATCCATGGCGTCGGCGATCGGACTCTCGGTGCCGGTACTCCGATTCTTGCTTTGCTTCGCGGCAACCATCCCGGTTAGTTTATTCCACCGGTTTGTACCAGGTGGACCCGTGGCGCGCCATCTTTATGCCGCCACGACTGGGGCTGTTCTGTCGTATCTGTCATTTGGATTTTCTTCGAATCTTCATTTTCTGGTGCCTATGTTCTTGGGCTACGCCTCGATGGTCCTGTGCCGGAAGTATTGTGGGATAATTACGTTCTTCTTGGCCTTTGGCTACCTCATTGGATGGTATTTGACTTTCTCTATCGCCCTTCTCACAGTTTTCGATCTGTTGTTAAATTAAAGTTTGCCTGAGAATTGTTGTTTTTGTTTGATGGACGTTTGTTTGGTTCTGGAATTCCTTTTGTTCCGACTGTTGGATTTATTTAAGAAGTATGTTTTCTAGCATAAATTGGTGGTTATGGGAAATGCTTATAGATTCTATCTAATTTCGATGATGCAAACGTATTTGGCTTGAATATGCTTCGATCTTCCTTTTGATAAATATAGTTGCACGAATATCTGTTACTTATTAGCGTAACACTTGCAATGTTTAATCTTTCCCTGGTTTTTGGTTCTACTGGGTGCCACAGAATTTGTGCTTGAGTCTTGATTTACATGCTGATGGTGCTAACTTCAACTATAGGAAGATATTACAATGATGGGAGCATTGGATAATTTTTATTGTTGAAACATCAAAAGCTGCAGTTCATGGAATTTTCATTGGAAAATAAGCAGACATAAAACAAGAACAGAACCATCCAATGTAAAACTGAGATATGAACTAGTGCTGAGTTGAAAAATTGATGTACATACCAATGTAAAACACTAAATCCAAAACCACTGCTACAATATGATAACCTTGATCAGCAAATCAACATTCGGCTGTACTATTTTCAACCGAAATGAACTCAAACACTAAAAGGTGTATATGATAATAGACTATTTCTAGGGAGAATTTTTTTTTCCTGATATGTTTTCAATAATTTCAAGGGGAATGTCTATAGGTCCTTTGAGGTCGATTTTGAAATTCTGGAATTTTTTTTGGCACGGATCGGTTTAAGATAGATCAAACTTGTTTTGGATAGCTGAAGATTAAAAAAGAACCTATCTGCTAAAAATCGCATTCTCTTTGGCGTGCAATTACCTGTTGTTGGTGGCATTTAATCATCATATCCAGCCATTAAGCAACTCCCGATTGGATGGTTTTGACTTGCCATATATGCATCACATATTCACATATGCATGATTTGTCACTCTGCCTCCATGTCACGAGTGCATGATCCTTCTCTTCTTGCCACGTCATTGCTGTTGTAGTTTTCATTAGAAAAACTTAAGGCTCCTTATGTCTTTTTGACAATGCTAAGTGCAAGTGCACATCTGAATTGCCGAATACGACCTTTGCGTGCTTGAACAGTGCAGCGCCACCCTTTTGGTGGTTAACATTAGGTATAGCTTCATTAATTAAGGATGCGATCTACTAACATCGAACAAATAGTTTTAAATAACAAATTTTTAACAATTTTTACTTAGCTTTGGATTATATTAGTCTGCCTAGATTCTCAAGGGGGTTGGATATCTCACTTAAGCCTTCAAGAAATGTCATAAATATTTCACAACATGTACTACCTCATGTTATAGATGATCTTCCAATTCAACAGCTCATTAATTAAGGATGCGATCTACTAACATCGAACAAATAGTTTTAAATAACAAATTTTTAACAATTTTTACTTAGCTTTGGATTATATTAGTCTGCCTAGATTCTCAAGGGGGTTGGATATCTCACTTAAGCCTTCAAGAAATGTCATAAATATTTCACAACATGTACTACCTCATGTTATAGATGATCTTCCAATTCAACAGCTCATTAATTAAGGATGCGATCTACTAACATCGAACAAATAGTTTTAAATAACAAATTTTTAACAATTTTTACTTAGCTTTGGATTATATTAGTCTGCCTAGATTCTCAAGGGGGTTGGATATCTCACTTAAGCCTTCAAGAAATGTCATAAATATTTCACAACATGTACTACCTCATGTTATAGATGATCTTCCAATTCAACAGCTCATTAATTAAGGATGCGATCTACTAACATCGAACAAATAGTTTTAAATAACAAATTTTTAACAATTTTTACTTAGCTTTGGATTATATTAGTCTGCCTAGATTCTCAAGGGGGTTGGATATCTCACTTAAGCCTTCAAGAAATGTCATAAATATTTCACAACATGTACTACCTCATGTTATAGATGATCTTCCAATTCAACAGCTCATTAATTAAGGATGCGATCTACTAACATCCAACAAATAGTTTTAAATAACAAATTTTTAAAAATTTTTACTTAGCTTTGGATTATATTAGTCTGCCTAGATTCTCAAAGTTATTGCCTATATATTTGATGTACACAACCATCAAACAGAAATTACATAATTGTTCGTAATCACACATTTTGGAGATAATAGGATAGTATGCAATAAGTGAAAATTGGACCTTTGCCGTGCTACGATTTCTGACAATTCTATGAATTTGGGATGAGTTACTGAAAAAATCATCCAGCAATCATTTGACAGTTGCATGTGGTTTATCATGTTTTCTGGGATTTGGTTTTGTTGATAACAAACATTTTAATTTGCTGAGAGACATTTTTCATGAATGTTTTGTATGTTTATTTTGTATGGTCGATGCCTTTGTTTTATTTATTGTGGACATATCATAATAGGATAGTATGCAATAAGTGAAAATTGGACCTTTGCCGTGCTACGATTTCTGACAATTCTATGAATTTGGGAAGAGTTACTGAAAAAATCATCCAGCAATCATTTGACAGTTGCATGTGGTTTATCATGTTTTCTGGGATTTGGTTTTGTTGATAACAAACATTTTAATTTGCTGAGAGACATTTTTCATGAATGTTTTGTATGTTTATTTTGTATGGTCGATGCCTTTGTTTTATTTATTGTGGACATATCATAAATAGGAGACACGATGACGTATTTGAAGTCTATGCCATTTAAAACTAATTTCTGAACTGTTTGCTGTTGGAATACACATGTAGTCATGTATACTACATGAGTGGCGATGCATGGAAGGAAGGAGGAATTGATGCTACAGGTTAGCACCATCTCAGTCACTACTATTACTTTGGTTTCTTCATTTGATTGGCAAGTATTTTATCATTATTCAATGACACATATATATTTTTGTGGATTATTCTTTTAAGCCATGGTGACACAGCACGAAGAGAGATTTAAGCATTAGTTCTCTAAAATATATATGCTACCATATATTCTTTTCAAGTAATTTGATAAAGGATTTTCGGAAGAATTGACATTTTTCCCTGCCTTTCATAGAGTTTGAAATCCCTGTCCAAGCTGATACTAATGTACGTATGTACTACTTGCATGGGTCTACATAAAGCTAGTCCAGTCCAAATTTGTTCCTTATAAATGTGCAAAAGTAAAATTAAGGGCTGCTAGTCTGCTACCGCTATATATATGTATTTATATCTATATATGATGCACAAATGTCTTTATCTTAAAATGTCTTCCTCCTTTCCTTTGTTCTTTATACCTTAAATAATAATGGCAGAAGAGCACACATGTCCCTTAATTTTCTTTTACTAATTTCTAAAAGTTCAGACACACACCAGGTGTACAAGCATATAACTGCTCGTGTTAGATATGATAGGATCCAACTATTCACAAGAGTAGACTAGGCCTCTTTTTGTTATTGGAGGCAACAGATTTACCTTTTTGCTATATTTGGTATTATTGTCCTGAGCAAAACAGGAATTGAAGATAAGATATTTAAGAAACCTCAGAAGCTCGACATCAATTGTCTATGAGTACGCATCTCATTTTCACAGCAGTACTGCAACATTTTAATACTCTTCTTTGCCTGATACTACTGTAAATATTAATTTATCCACATTTTCTTTAGCGACTCACCTTTTTGTGATAAATTATGTTCAGCGTTGAAAATATTTAGAGCGCCTTGGTGTGATTGAGTTTTCTAAAATCAATATTTTGAAACTGACTAAATTAAGATTGCATGCTTATTTGTTATTTGGAGCGTGCGTCCTGCATGCATGTCCATTATGGTAGATGTCCAATGAGCAACTTGGATATTTAAAATGCATTACATCTAGCTTGGATAACTTTTATTATGTCAGAAAATATGAAATATTTTATTTTATTTTATTTTTTTGAAGTCTTGAATAGCTTAAAGATTTGTTGACTTGTCAGCATGTTATTATTGAAAGAATACTACATTAAAATTCCATTTTGTTTTGCTTTCACCGATACTGGTTGAATTAATTGTGTGAAAATTTCCTTTATTTTGTTGATACTGGCAATTGTTTCATGATTTTGGTTTTCTCAACTCACAGGAGCCCTGATGGTGATAACTCTGAAAATCATTTCATGCGTCATTAATTATAATGATGGATTACTGAAAGAGGAAGATCTACTGGAGGTGCAAAAGAAAAACCGCTTGCTCAAGTTGCCATCATCAATTGAGTATTTAGGTTACTGTCTCTGTTGTGGAAGTCACTTTGCTGGTCCAGTGTATGAAATGAAAGATTATCTTGAATGGACTGAGAGGAAAGGGGTATGTTATTTATGTTCTTGTATTATGCTTCTACCCTTGCTTTTTTCGTTTCCATTAAGTAGAGGCTGCTCGAATATTATCTTCTGCAGAATTGGAAACCTACAGAAAAGGGTTCGTCCCCCTCTCCATATTGGCCAACTTTCAGGGCTGTTCTCCAAGCTGCTATCTGTATGGGCTTGTATCTGTACCTTGTACCACATTATCCACTTTCCCGGTTTACAGAACCAGTGTATCAAGAATGGGGGTTCTGGAAACGTCTGAGTTACCAGTACATGTCTGGCTTTACTGCTCGTTGGAAATATTATTTCATCTGGTCAATCTCAGAAGCTTCTATTATTATTTCTGGCCTGGGATTCAGTGGCTGGACAGATTCGAATCCACCCAAATCACGATGGGACCGTGCAAAGAATGTTGATATAGTAGGTGTTGAGCTGGCTACGAGTTCCGTGCAGTTGCCACTTGTATGGAATATTCAAGTCAGCACTTGGCTTAGACACTGTGAGTTCACGTTTTCTCTAGAATTTCATGTTCTTTTGGCTAACTGTGTTTGTAAAGGTAACCTATAAGCTCATTGGTGACAATTGGACACATTTTGTGAATCAAATGCTACGCTAGAAATTGTACATCACCTGAATAGACAGAGCTTTCTGCAAAAAGAACCTGATTATAGGAAAAATAGAAATAGTCATACCTAAATATCTTATGAAATGATCTATGTTAGATGTTGTATTAGAATATTAATGCATGTGTTCATTTCCATGTACACACGTGCCTATATTTATGTAATCTATCTTTTACACTGTAGTGTATCATTTAAATTTGGATACACACTGATCTACACCCGTTCTTCAAACCCTGCTGATAAGCAAATCTTGATCAAACACATAAAAATTGCTCAAATACTTCAACCTGCACTTGAATTAATGAATCATGTCTATAAGAGTGTCTTCTAGATCTGATTCATTGTCAGGTCAAGTTAATTATTGGGTTTACATTCTCATAGCAGCAGGCCCTTTAAAGATTGTATCGTGAGTTGCTGTGGAGTTAACAATGACCTACCTCACTCAATCTCTAAGATGTCTAATGGTGGTCTCAACAGTGTCAACAACAATAATCTCTTTAACAAACTTATTTTGATTAAGGACCCCACAAGCTAGAGTCTTTTTGTTCAGGTGTAACTCTCCTAGCTCATCCCTTTTCTGCCTGCCTTTTATTCGTGAAAAGAAAATGCATACTTGAGATGCCAAATTATTATGACATTTTTCTTAGTAAATGTTGTAAATAGTTGTGTGATGTCCAATTGAAGGCTTCCAAAACTCTCTGCAACTCGTTTGGGTTTTAGCATCCCTTAATTATAGGAATGTTGCTCATTTACGAGTTACTTAATCTGTACTGGTGAGTCACAATTGATTATTTATATTATGAATTCTATTTCTTATCTAATTAATCTCATTTCATTTAGATGTCTATGAGAGGCTCATTCAGAAGGGGAAGAAACCAGGGTTCTTCCAGTTGCTAGCTACCCAAACCGTCAGTGCAGTTTGGCATGTAAGTATAAATTCTAGCCTTCTGTCCTGAAAGTTAAACAATGCTGTACTTTGTCAATGTATTAAATGTGTTCTGTTTTTTCTATGTACTATTTTTGTTAATTCTAGTTGGCACGTAATTCTTCTGGAAGTCAACAATTAAATTATTTTCATAATACTATCTATTCTTTTACAGTATATGAATTAAAAATGCTAAAAAATTTACTTGATGTGGTATTAAAAATTAAAGCTGAAAGATAAATTATCATTCATTGATTTTATCATTCATTGATTTGCCATGCGAAACTCTCGTTCACGGGCTTGCGTATCATGTATATATGACTCTCCCATTGTTTATCCTTGATATTAGCCCTTTCATTTATAGTCTTTCTGTTTCAGTGTCCAAAACTTCTTGGTTATTTCACATATGCTTGTAATCTTTCTATACGTAATCACCATTATGAATCAATTATCAGAGATCAAAGAAGGTAATATACTATATTCTTTCACATTCATGCCTTTAAGCATGCTAATATCTTTGTTACTCCTCTAGTTATATAATGGCTCCTGTTTCATGTAAATATATTTATCATTTGATTGCAAGTGTACATCTGAGAGCATATGCACAAAAACAGCACTTTTCCTTTTCCTTGCTGATTTCTACAGCTAAATCCATTCAAAATTAGCCATCTGACCACTTGATCAAATTATTTCATAACATCACAGGGATTGTATCCTGGCTACATCATATTCTTCATTCAGTCTGCTGTAATGATTGCTGGTTCAAGAGGTAACAATTACAAATATGTTTAATGAGATGGTTAATTTTAACTGCCTGCCTTCTTAATTGTTTGGTCTATGAACAGTTCTTTACAGATGGCAACAAGCCACCCAATCAAATCTATTTAAGAAGATATTCATATTCGTGAACTTTGCTTACACGCTTTTGGTTCTTAACTACTCTTGCGTGGGTTTCATGGTTAGTCCAGTTGTTAAACATTCATTATTCTCGTTTGCATTAGACGCCCATCACCACTGTTAAGATGCTATTTGGCACGCAGGTATTAAGCCTGCATGAAACCCTAGCTGCATATGGGAGTGTATACTATGTTGGAACCGTTATTCCAATAGCATTGATTCTGCTCGGCAAAATCATTAAGCCAGCAAGGCCGTCCAGAGCTAAAGCTCGGAAAGATCAGTAAGGTAGAAATTGCACCTTTGATATTTATTTTTGAGATTTGGGTTGCCATTCCTAATATATTAAAGTGCTGATTGCTGCTACATTTCTTCGTTTCTTTGTAGTTTGTAAAATTTAATTCAGCAACGAAATTGTTATTTCCCTTTCATCTTTGAATGTAATATGAACGTCGACTTTGTTCAATTTTCCCAAGTCGAAAAACTTGACAATCATTAGTTAACCTTATGATTATCTGGATGCATACTGTGTCAAGAATTCAGACTGTTTGACCATTAGATATTGAGAAGAACTGTAATTTTCTTCATCAAGTTTTTAGTTCTTAAAGACACGAACATGAGCATGCAGTGTTAATAGTATCGTACAGTCGAGCCTACGAATCGTGTGGTAAGCTTGGTATTTGATGTTGAAGCATGGGGAGAAAAAAAAGAAACTGGAAGTGTTTATCACAACTGGGACAAGAATTTAGAGAGAACATTCAATATTAATGAAATATAAATAATCAATTACTTACATTATTGCAAAATGCATCTTTATTTATGCTTTAAATTCCTAGTAAAAAACGAAAATTCAAAATCTCACAACTTAAACAGGATGTACCTAGTCTGGTTCTTATAATCGTGTAAATTTCATTCCGAACCCCACCTCCTTGGACATCTTGGATCATGTGAGTGAATCGAAAATTGAATTTATATTAAATCTCATTATAATCACTTCGTCCATCCTTGAGGTTTGATTCAACTCATTCAAAGGAGTATGTCATGTTAACGTGCCTTTGACGGTCCACATTTTCAAATCAGGCATCAATGACCACATTAAATTATCCAAGTGGTTGAGAATTCATACCTTCGAGGCCTGGCCATGCAATTACTAGGGGATGAGTTTTATTCGGCAAAATTCTGGTGTATTCTTTAATATCTATTCCAAAATTTAGGAAAAAGTGAAGAAATATGCATCAGCTAGAGGCCAAATTGAAAGTACAGTAGCTACAAGTATATGAAACCCTACCTAGAAAGAAAAGTGTGCATAAATGAATGAATGGATGAAGTTGTTTGTCTTGATGAAGGCGGCTGGAAAGCTGTCTTTGCAGCCAAGCCTGAAGGGTATGTATGGTCCACTCCTACGTTTGTTTGCTGATTTACACTACACAATCCATGTGCCTCAGTGCTTGGGACTCCTATTATTGTGTAGTTTTCTCCAGGAATGATCTGATGATGAACTGGCCTCATTCCCCACCTATCATGATTATTTACTACTCAACATGTTTTTATCAAGAAAAGTTGGGGCACTTATTCGCGCCAAATGAACTTTATTTGAAACATTTCGTGGGTGTTATCCAGAGACAAGTTTTTTGCATTCCATTGATATATTGGCATTGATCCCACCCATCTTGATTATTTACTTCCCAACATGTATCATCATGGAAAAGTTGGGTCACGATAGTTGGGGGCAATTAGTGTATTTTTGAACATTCGAGAGTGAAACGGAGGAAAGGGTTGTTATTCGAGGACGAGAGATGCGACTTAAGAGTTTTTCCTAGAGTGCTTTCAAGAAGTGGCTTCAAACCCTACCCGTCTTTGATGATTTACCCTCAAAGTATATGTGTCCTTTACTATTTAACACGTATCATCATGAAAAAGTGAGCATGATTATCATGCCAATGATCTTATTTAAAAGTGTTTCTGAGAGCTAAAACAAGAAACACTTTGTTATTCAAAAAGAACCAATATTGATTCACATGAACTTATATATCACGACCATCGATGCGAAAAGAAAACCAAAAAACTCCATCATTATCAAAAGATAAAAAAATGCATCTCCTACATCCATTTGATTAGGCACGCGATAATGATCCAAAATAACTTGACAAGGCAATTAATGTTGTTGCTTTGAATAATTGAATTGGTTAAAGAGGAAGGCATCAATTCAGGGGAGGAGACATGCATTTGTATATTTGTTCAAAAGATGGTTACTAAACAAAGCAATTCACTTGGGATGTTTGCTTAGAGGGAGTTAACATCAATGTGTATCTGGCAATTTGAACTGACCACTAACTAACTTATAATTTGTCCAGCTTATGACTGGAAGCATTCTGGCAAGCCTGCCTTCTTGCAGAGCACCCCATGTCCTAATCGAAGCGGTCTTAGGGCACATTAGTATATAAAATTAGACAAGATTAAACAATACAATTAATGACATTGTCTTCTTCCTTCCTTCCTTCTATTTTTTTTTTTTTTTTTTTTAAATACCATACATTTAACCTTATCGAATGATATTAGAGTAAAATTAATACGATAAGACTAAGTTTGATATACTCTATTAGATTGTATACTAGGAAGACAATATTCATAAGTTCTTCAACAGAAGGCTACATTACATATTATGTTCTTAAATTGTAGTTCAAAAATAACATTTTCGAAAAGACGTCAAGTTTGACCGTAAAACAACAAAAATTTAATTTATTTTTTTATTTAATAATATTCAATATTGTATAGACCATCATACAAGCGAATAGTGTATTAGAAATCTAAGATAACTAAGCTGAAGGTTCCTGCCAAATTATCAAAGATATCCATCTGTTGGTGTGAGCTTATCTACGAGATTTGAAATTTGTTTGACAATCACAATTACATGTATATTTTATTAACCCTTGAGAAGGCAGACAACTCAAGAAATTTTTAATTATTATCACCTAACTGGGCATGAGATTCTAGTAAACTTTTTTTTTTCTTCGAACCTTTTTTGGGTGGGTTTTTACTTGTCTTGTTGCCTTTAAAATTATTCCCCAATAAATGGATCAATAATGTTGTTTTACGAGGGTAGGGGTTCGAAACCCCTACGGATCCTCACAGTAGGTGGATCCCATGCGGACCCACTTGCATAAAAAATTGCCAAAAACTCCACCTACCCACCCCATGCTGTGAGTGCTTGGTAGGGGTACCCTGTACTCCAAAACTGTAAAATGGATAAGATGGGAATTATGTAAACAATCATTGCTTTTAAAATTTTATCCAAACATATTTGTTTTTTGGTAATGCTGCAATAATATTCTTAAGTACATGAAAGGTCATAGATTATATTATGGACTTAAATAAACAAAAAACCAGAAGCATAAAGAATATTCTTAGCCTCCCTCCATTTAAATTATTTAGACATGTTCAGTAGTGATTATGAGAATTGATTTTTTAATCGTTAGAGAGAAAAGTGGATCCCATCTATGAGTAAAGAAGCAAAAAATAACGGTTGAAATACTAAAATAACGGTCAAAAATTGATTTTTTATGGTGAAAAAGTGCTACCAAACGGATGCTTAGTGTAAACATGATAAAAAAAGTCAAACCCTCTTGCAGTTTGTTTCCCTCATTATGTCAATTTTTTTTAATGTGTCACTTATACTGTACACCCCACAAAATCCATCATATTAATTAAGTAAACATTACAACAACAATAAAAAAATTAAAGTCTTATTTTCAATTAATTCAGAGACCATTACGTGAATCCATTTTCGTTAATCTAAATTATCTATTGTTATAGCGATGGCAAGTAAAATACTATCTATCAAGTGAGTTCTGATATGTCCTTTTATTTTGCCTTCTTTACCTTTCGCATTTTGAAATATAAACATACCACCGAACGTGTCTTCTGAAAACTCAAGAACTTATGTTGCTAGAGGAAATATTTACAAGAACTAAAGATGTTTGTTCTTTCCGACTATTAGAAGGAAAAGCATAAGATCATCAAGGTCGACTTTTGTCCCTGCTCGAAAAATGAATTTAATGATCAAACTCCTTTGTGCCTTTACGCTCGAAGATTGATCCTTGTCCCGCCCGAAGAAACCTTTGTAAATTGGACGTCTATGCTACCTTTCAAGAGGCCTATGGCCCAAAACACATTTATTTATTTAAATTATTTCTTAAACACTACAAAAAGAAAATCAACCCTGCTGTGTGTACAACAGGCTTCATACAGAAGCCTGCTAGAACACACACATAGGGGGTGGGGGTATTTTTTGGCAATTTTTTATTCACGGTGGGTGTCCACGAAATTTTTTCTTTCGATTTAAAACCCACCACAAGTATACGGTTCGTTAACAAGTAGTAAAATGCATTATGAGTCCAAGTATTAATCCCATAAGGATTGAATTAGTTCAAATCAATCTATTGTGACCTTAATAGAAACACAAAAGTAGGATGTATTTATTGTGATTTAACTAAGGGAGATGTGAACTATGATGCAATTATGAGAGAAACTTTTATTAAATGCAAAATGACCTGAATGCAATCTACTATAATTTATAGAATTAATGAGTTACTAATGCACTAGGATCACAAATTCCCAAGCAACACTCGTTCAATACTAAATTATGCAAATTTGACACACATTCCCACAATTGATGAATCAATATTCCTATGTTAATTTATCAATCTCTCTTGAACAATGCCAAACCTATCCCAATATGTGATTCGACTATATCTCTATGACGAATACTAACATACAGGAATGCATTATGATTTCTTGAATATTCAACAATTCACACGAGGCATAGATGTATATTTTTATCCTCTATCGGACCCTATGATAATTTAAACTATGTCGAGCCTATTTTCCTTCTCTCGAATGTATAAAACAGGCCACCAAAATCATATAATTACGTGCACAATAATAATATGAAATTAAAAACGTATAAATCATTTAATTCCGGAACATGTACTTAAATATGTCAAATCTCCAAATCAAAAATCAAAAGTAATATTGCAAGGTTTATCGATCTCCTAGTACATGAAAAATCTAGCCTAACATACTAAAAAGAAGAAAATACAAAAATAGTTGAAGAAACGTCATCATCCGAATCAAGTTTCAATCAAATCTTCAATTGGCGCGATATTTTCCTCTTGTTCTCTCTTCGTTTTCTCCTTCAAAATCTCCCTTTTCTTGTAAAATCGGCGTCCCCTTCGTTCTGGTTGATTTTTCATTTATATAGGACCCTAAAAATCTTGTTTCCATAAGAGTTTTAGCGAAATAAGAAAACTGCGAATATGGCCTCTGAATTGCTCTATGCGACTGCATAGAGCGTCTCTATGAGGTTGTATAGAGTAAGAATTTTCTGAGAATTGATTATCGGTCTACCTCTATGCGACCGCATTGAGGGTAGCATTATGCGGTCCAACTATGGAAAAAGTCAATTTTGGTCCTTGAACTTTCATTCTTCTTCATTTTAGTCCATTTGCAATTCCTTCTTCTACCAATCATCTTGTATCGCGTTCGAGTTCATACTAAGCATATTTGCATTCCCAGGTTGCTTTTTAGTTCAACTTTGAATATTTGCATCCTTAGTCCCTGAATTATTACTTTGCTCAATTTTAGTCCTTTTTCCAGAGAAACACCTACATTGCATGAATTCAACGAGATTAAGTCACAATTTAAATATTTTGCTCGTAATTAAGTCATGTTTGTGATCTAAATAAGTGTGCAAAAACACACTTATTAGTGGGTCTCACACATGACAGTAATCTGGCCAAATTCTGTGGAAAATTTTCGGTACAAATGGCTTAATGCAAAGAAAATATAAAGAAAACCAACCACCCCCAACAAAGGCAAATAAGCTCTTTCTTTATTAACATCCCCTATCTTTCCATTCTTCTTCCCGACTCTTTCTCTGTCTCTCTCTTTATACATTTATATAAATAGATTCTGTAAGTATCGTTATCATAATCCTTTTATGAAACTTCCTTTAAAACCCCTTAAAATGTTCTGAACTGACTCAATATTTAGTTTATTGTGGTTGTTCATTACTTATAGGGATTTGTATGTACACATTCGGACCATATTGTTGTTGTTAGTCTGACATTGTGGCTCAGAATTTTGTTCTTTCTTCATACATGGGTTTGTTCTTAGCTTAGCAGACAAGTAGTTAAATTTATCTTCATCAACTTTTGCAGTCTTTCTCATACATTGCATTGACCATATTGTTTGATCTATATAACAAGAATTGATGTATACAACCATGAACAAAGATAATATTAGCAGAATGAAGACTAAGGCTGCCGGAATTTCTTCGCCGGTGAAATCCACGGCCACCAGTGGTGGTGTTGGTTCTGAGAGGTGGGAGGTTAGGCCTGGAGGAATGTTAGTACAAAGGAGAAGTTCAGATTCTAATCAGAATTCCATTCATGTTCCCAGCATCAAAGTCAAAGTTAAATTCGGCAGATCTTATCATGAAGTCAACATTAATTCTCAAGCAAGTTTTGGTAATTTCTATTCCCAAAATTCGATCCAGTTCGACATTTTGACCCTTGAAACTTTTTTCAGATCAATGCCCTATTCAGTTATTTAAACATTAGTTTGAACATATGCAATTTTTGAGGCCTTTGCATTAGGATTATAAATAATTCCATCAGATGTTGAGTCTGTTTTTCCATAAAATTCAATTTCTTGATCATCTTATTATTATTTTTTTTGTTAATGGATCATGTTTTTAAGTGCAGGTGAATTGAAGAAAATGCTAGCCCGGCCTACCGGACTGGCTTCGCAGAATCAGAAATTGATATACAAGGACCAAGAGAGAGATTCAAAAACTTTTCTTGATGTTGCTGGAGTGAAAGATGGATCAAAGATCATGCTAATCGAAGACGAATTGAGCAAAGAGAGACGACATCTTGAATCGTTAAAAACTGCAAAAATGGAGAAGGCATCAAAAGAAATTGCAGCCATTAGACTTGAAGTCGACAAACTTGCAAAACAGGTGATAATTTTGCCATTTTGTTGTATAATTTGTTTAAAAAGATTTTACTTTTTTCCTGATTTCTTGATTATTTTTTGTAGGTGGCATTAACTGAATTGGAAATTAAATGTGGGAAGAAAGTTGCGGAGACAGTTTTATTGAATTTGATTGAATTGTTGATGACACAACTAATTAAATTAGATGGAATTTCTGCTGATGGAGATATGAAATTGCAGAGACGAATGCAGGTACATGTTTACACTATAAATCAAATCTTTTAATATTCCCATCGAGTTTTCTTGAAAATATTCTAATAATTTTCTTTAATATTTAATGAATTTGAAGGTGAAGAGGGTGCAGAAATACATTGAAACTCTCGATATCCTCAAGATAAGAAATTCTTCCCTTGGCAGTATGGGAAATGAGATGATTCCAGGGCCAGTTGTGGTAACAAAATGGGAGAAATTCTGATTCTGAATTGGACTTGTTCGAGTAAAGATGTGATGAATCAATGTGCGTGGCAAGTTATATTGGACAATGTATAAAAATAAAAAAATCTAAACGTTTGTTCATTATTTTGTTGGGTTCTATATAAAATGGTAATATATGCACATATATCCTTTTTTCTGGTGATCAAAGTTTTGGAATTTCTGTGGTCTGCCCATTTAGAAGTGATGCCCTGCTTTCCCATTTGTATATAGCAACCTATTTAAAGAGAATGTGTTGGGGCCTTGAAGCATTACATATGTGTACTTATAAATTTTTGGAGAAGTTATTACCTTCACCTTCAAATATGCTCAAAAAATCGAAAATGTTTGTGTCAACTTTATCTCAATCATAGTCATTTTTCATAATGATATACTTGATATTTGACAATTTTTCGAGAAGAAAATNAATGTTTGTGTCAACTTTATCTCAATCATAGTCATTTTTCATAATGATATACTTGATATTTGACAATTTTTCGAGAAGAAAATTAGAGTTGAATCCTCAAATCTGACATTTCAAAGTGAGATTTCTAACTTAATCATATATGTGAATCATTAATCCTAGTAAGTGGAAATCGTCAATAACAATGACATATTTATACGCAACTAACCCCGTGAGTTAAAGTTGAAAGTTAAATAAGAAGACAAATTTTAATATGAAAGTCCTATTTACATCTTTGACTCGAAAATGCGCGCTTTTTTCATTTTGGCGAATATTGTTGTATTTTTATTTTAATAACAAAGATATGGTCATTACCTAGTCTCAAGCACGAGATTCCTTGTTGCTTGTGATGATAAAATAAGTAGGTGGCCATTTTAAATAATCTTTGGGCAATAATTAAGTTACTAGTTGCACCAAAATGATGAAAATGACACGTTTGACTTGTGAACACATAAAAAAGTATAATCTTTACTTTATGTTTGCCCGTGACACTCGACAATATTTTTTCATAGTGTTTGGATACATTGCCCTTAGAAAGATGCTTTGATAATTTCATATTTATTATATATTTGCAGCCAAAATTTTCTAAATTTTATTTTGATCATCATCGAACTTCAAAAATTTTCGAGTTGTCAAATTTTTCCAAATAGTTTCATTTGCAACTGAATTATAAATTTTTTTTCGAGTGGCCATTGAATTTATCAAAATTGAATCACAATCGTCACTGCATTACTCATTGGTTTGAAAACATACGTCACTCACTATTTTGGTGACATGACAGACACTAACATCGGAAGCATGCCATGTGCAAAAATTCCATCTATCAATTTTCAAGTTTGTTAAGTTTTAAAATAGCGAGTGACGAATCCATGAATAATAAGCCATAATAGTAAGTACACTAGAAACTCGAAAACTCATAAAATTCAGTGGCATTAAAAATATTCAAGGGCAATGGTAGTATTTAACCCTCAAAAAGTTTCAACAAAAGTTATAAGACCAATTTCAATGCTAGTTGTCCACATTCCAAACAATAAGTTGGACTGTAAAATGGGCTGCCTACAATGAACCAAGCCTTGTTAGGAGTCCAAAAATGGAGGCCCAATATAATTCCTAGAGTGGAGCCAACTTTTCAAATTGAGATACCCAATAGTTAAAGTGGTATGAATAGAATTGAAAGAAGAAATAAGTTCGTCTCCGGGAGGCTCGACCTCCATAGTTATGTTTTCAAGGAGTTTAATCCTTTAAGACAAACAATATTGTTTGTAACCTAAATACCATGATAAAAACAAGACAATAAAACCTGAAAATATAGCTAATTATTTGGAATATGATTGCAATCCGATGGTAAAAGTCCCTTGTTTTTTATTCAATCATACTACATATTCAGACTCAAATCCAAATGGAACACGTATCGACGTATGATTGGACAGTTTAAAAAATTAAAATAAAAACACAAAATCATTTTCTGACACATCAATCTGTCTCTTCACTCCTTGTTTTTAAGCCAAGTTTAGTGGCTTTATTCTTTCTTAGTTTGCAGGGGTTCAAATCCTCCTGCTACAACCGTATTTTTCCTTCGGATAACTCATGCAATTAGTTCTAACCCTTAGCATTTTAAGAATACCCATTCCAACCTTTAAAATTGGACTTTCCAACTTTAAATTCCATTTGCATTTCATCAATTTTCGATAGATAAAGTTGGCAAAATACTATTCTTAATACTTAACACAATCTCATCAATTTCAATTCCAAAATTTGAATGAAGAGTGAAGAACCATTTCCTTTTTAACGCACAACCGTCAGCAAAAATTATATTAATGCATTACCATTTACTAATTAGAAAAATTTTCAAAATGTTTAGTAGAAGACGATCCTAATAATGGTGGTAAGTTTTTAATTTATATTTAGTTAACTGAGTATAAAAATGTTTATCTCCACTTTAAGGACTAACAAATAGAATAAATAAGAATGACACAAAGATAACGTTCTTCTTGATTCACAACCTTGAATTGACCATTTACATCAAGGATATGAAAATCTTTAGGGCTTAGAACATTGTACCCTTTTGTTCAACTATAAGACCCTGACCCTAACCCTAACCCTCAATACACGACTAGCAGCTACTTCTACAGACCAAAATGACACCATACAGACATCAATAGTTTCCTTCTCTACAAGAATCACAAAGACTTAACAATTTACACGTAGAATCTGAAACCAAAAGTTCCAGAGAAGAGAATGAAGAACACAAAGGAAAACCAAACGACTCAGAAAGAATTCAGAGGGTTTGTCAGAATTCAAGAATGAAAGACGCGTCTAGAGCAACCACAAGAGTTGAATTTATATCAAGAAGGCAACACCGTTGATTTCAAGAAGTGATCAATGGATTGGAGCAGCACACGAGGTACGTGTATTGGGCTCGGGTCAATGGCTCACTTGAGTTATTGGACAATGGTTAATTGTGTAATATCAATGGGTTGAGCCCAAATATCTCATTATCCCCCCTATATTATTTGGACTGGGCCCTTTTTTGGCATTACAGCCCAAACATCCACTTATATATATCATGAATGATTTCTTTGGGACTCTTTTTTGTTTTATTTTTGTATTAATGTACGTGGACAACTATGATTTCCATTTATTTTCTATATTTTCTCGATCAAGCGGGTTTGGTAATCAAAGCTTGAAGTTTTACATAAAACGTGATTAATTTCTTTACTATTTTATTTGTATATTTATTTATGGATAACACAAATTTAATTATTTTTATTTTTTAACAAAATTTTCAAACAAAATAACTTTATTATTTTCTTCAAATGTTGCCAATCATGCTATACGGCCGATGATCGATCATCATAGGCCCTCTCCAACCAAAAATCGTGGTTCCGCCACTGATTTATTGCTATAGAGTATCTTGTCCTCCATCTCAAATTCTTGCAAGAAGCCACATTCAGGGGCCACTACATTGATGGAAGAAATAAAGGAATAGATAAACAAATTACACCCATTGGAAAGACATATTTTGTTCAAAAAACATCGCTTTTGGCTTTCACACTAATGGGTGGCCATGTTAAGTATAAACACTATAATTTTTTTATAAATACATTACATTTTAATTACATTAAAGATCTTTAACCTTGATTCAATGTCAGGTTTACACCATATTTTAATCAAAGACAGTGAGTAAAAGGACAATTAAATTTGGGTAATTATCATAAAACATCTTTACCTTTCAATGTTGTTGTACAAAACGTCTATACCTTTCATTTTTTACACTTTTACCCTTACCTCCACCTTTTATTGCAGAAATTATCATTTTCATTACATTTCTAGTGTGAAATAACAAATATACCCCATATTTAAATAAAACAATGAAATCATAATTCCTAACTTTTTTAAAAAGTCCAAATGAGTCCAAATAAATTATTAAAAATGTAATTAGCACAAAACGTCCCTATCTTTCATTATTATTGTGCAAAATGTCATTACCTTTCATTTTTTTTTGACATTTTTCACCCTTATTTCATATTTCATTGAGAAAATCATTATTTTCATCAATTTTCTCAATTAAAAGTTGTAAAATGACAAATATACACCCCTCTTTAAATGAATAAAATTAATAAAAAAAGAAAAATAAAGAACAAATTGCAACTATACCAATTTTTTCAAAAAAAAAATGTACAAATAAATAATTTTAAAAAAATAGAGACGTTTTGCACAATGATAATGAAAGGTATGAACGTTTTGTGATAATTACATTTTTAATAATTTATTTGGACTCATTTTCACTTTTTAAAAGGTTTGGAAGTATGATTGCAATTTATTCTTTAAATTTTCTTTTCTTTTTTAAATAAGTGGTACATTTGTCATTTTACATGAGAAATGTAATGAAAATGATGATTTTTATAAAATGTGAAGGTAAGGGTAAAAGTGTCAAAAAATGAAAGGTATGGACATTTTGTGCAATAACATTGAAAGATAAAGACGTTTTATGCTAATTACCCGTTAAATTTTTACTACAATAAATAAAGGATGGGAACCTTTAATAAAAATAAATGTGCTGCATTTGTAAGAAAATGAGGTGGAAATATAACCACACATATTTATCTCATACTTAAAATTTTAAAATTGAATTAAAAATTTTTGGCGAAAACCCTAGGATTTTATATATATTTTTCCAGCCTGCAAGTAGCAATAAAAAAGAGTTGTTAACGTTGTTAAGTATTATTCTAGTTAGTGATAATTAGTCAGCTATTAAAGTCAATAAAATAGCTTTTATTTTTCTTTACATGGAGTGTGACTTCGCGTATTTACGTAATGTAAAGTGGCGAAGGCATAGAAAATAGTAATCTATGAAACTCTTTGTTTGATGACAATGTCTACAACATAAAAAGTTAGAATCTTAGTAAATATTTGAAAAGATAAACTAGAAAATTATCACATTATAGTTATATAACACAGCACAAAATTCAGTATTAGCATTAAATGAAGAAATAAAATATGAATTACACAAACCAATATTTTAAAATAAAAGCAAAATATAAAAACTATAACTTTAATAATAGCTAAGCATTAATTAGCGAAAATAATATTTAGGACTTTGGTTGAGGTGGTTTGGAAGACCAGCTCTAGTGATATATGAAAAAGTAAGTAGCTCGACATTCGATCAGCCACAAGCCCTCCATGATTTCTTGCAACTCCTGGTTTGCTTTCCTTTTTCGTTTAAGGCAAGTTATGCGTGACATCTTACAAATGGAATATTATGATATTAATGTGTTAAAAACAAACAAGTTATCAGAATCGCTCTAATAC